GGACAGTGTGTGTGTGTGGATGCACACGGAGTGGGGGACAGGTGCCTGCTGGCATTGGGGGAAGGTGGCCAGGTGGCCAGGCATGGAGGCTGCGGCAGGGCAGTGTGGGTTGGGACAAGCCATCAATCTTTACAAATGGGTCCTGGTACATAAAAGTTTGAGAACCACTGGCTTAATGCATCCTATGTGATAGCATGAAGTTTCCTCTTTGATGAGAAAGACTGGTAAAGTAGAAGAATGCCAGTTTAGAAACAGATGCACTTAATGAGGGCCAAAAGTGCATCTATCCGTATACGTCATACCTGTAAAATGTACAAAAAAAACACTAGACCAGTACAAATGCACTGGAATAACTGCATCAGATACCAGTTCTTTAAAATGAGTATTAAAAGAATGTGGGTTTGTTTTTATTCACATTCTTTCATGTCCACTTGCTTCCCCCTGATCTAATGTAGTTCTAATAAGGATTTATTGAACAGTATGATATCAAATACCATGATGATGATGTGGTTGGTAGGGGTTATATACTGCTTTAACTGTATCCGCTTCCAAATGAATAGAATATCTATAGCATGATAAATATGTACAGACCAGCTCCTAGTTTGCAAAGGAGAGTAGCAAGAAGGAAAAAAAAAATGACAGAGAACACATGCTCAACATACCTATTTGCCTTGTCCTCCAAGAGGTCACTGGAAATTAAAGTGGTGTTAATTTGAAGCTGATAAAAGATAATTAGGTTTTACACCTCTAGTAATTACCTTGTGACATGCTGCTGCAGGGCATTTTCAAGGCATATGCTCCATGAGAGCCATGGAGGACAGTGACAGGAGCAAGGAGGGCACAGGACTGGATCCTGCTCTCATTTTCACCAATGCCAGTCCAGAATAACAGTGCAGAAACTGGTGCAGTTGCTCCGGCTTTACGCCAGTGTGTGTGGGAAGAGCATATGGCTCTGCATCAGCAGATATGCTACCTAGGACATGAATGACTAGAATTATTGATCCTCAGGCTTTAGAGTAGGAAGGAACTTCTACCATATCACACATTGTTCATAGGAGGATCTCTGTATCTAGGTCCAGTTTCTCCTGTCTTTTAGTGACTCACCTGTAGCTGATGAAATCAGCAAGATTATGCTGCTGTAGGTGAGATCAGAATCAGGTTTTAAAGCCTCTGTTTTTATATTAAACAACGGTAATCTCTTTGATCTACATAAGGTAAAAGAACTCCGCTCAGCACACGGGCTGGTTCTCTTTGCTCTCATAAAACACTGAGCCCCCTGCACATTCCAGCAACAGGGCCCCTGGCCTGACCCCTTCAGCATCTCCTAGCTGTCTAAGGAATGTGCCGCTACAATGGGATCCCTCTGCACGTGTGCAATCTGCCCCAAACCCCCACTTTTCAGCCAGGCCCTTCTTGATCTGCTGGTGCAGCTCTGCTAAATTGAAGCTTTCCTTTTCTCAGCTTCAGAAAACATGTTCCACAACTGCACCAAGCTCAACTTCTGTTCTCCTATGCGGGGTCACTGGAGCACAGCACACTGAGATGGGTTGAAAGAATAAAGCCAGGTAAATGACACAGAGATTAAAAGACATGTACCTCAGATGTGCATGCTGAGTAAACAGACATGCAAAGGGCCCCCACATCCTCCAGGAATGGGAAAAGCAAAGAGAGGTAGAACCTATGGATGAGGCAAAGAAAGCTCAGCTAAATGCAGAGCTAGTGACTCACCATCCACTAAACCCAGACAAATTCACAGGGGCAGGATAGGGAGGATAGTCTCTGGCAAAGGGGGAAGGATTCCTACCTAAAGCCCTATCAATTCAGCTGCCTTCCCCAGAACAAAGCCAGTCCCAAAAAGGGGGCTGCAAGGATTCCTAAACCTCAGCTGGAGGCTAGTGTCACTGTACTCTCAGGACAGGAACAGGGCCAAACTCAAGTGCCAATGCCTCCAAACACTGGGGCATCTGAAACCTGCATCAGAATTCTATAGCTGGGACCCATTTCTTCTTTAAAAGCCTCATGAGGCCACTGTTTTGCAAACAGAATTGCCAGTACAAAGGTCAAAAGGGGCCAGAGCCCTGGAGATCACTGGTGGCTAGCAGAGCCAGTGTTTTGGAAGCTCTAACTGGAGACCTGCATCTCCTACAGTCCTTCTGCAAGGTCCGAGGCAACATAGTCTCTCCTCTCCAGGCAGGGGGTGTCTGAATCCAAGCCAAATGGGTGATTAAGACAGAGCCAGGGGTCTGGTTTCATACTGCTCTAAATACACATCTTCCAGATCCTCTCACACTTGATTATGCTCTTTGGCAGGGGGTGCCCCAGCAGTCAATTGCCAAGCCCAGAACCACCAACGGCAAAACTGGTGAACCCAGAAGTGCACTTCCGCCGGCACTTCTGGTTTCACGGCTGGTGTTTCCAGGGGATGCACAGCCAGGGGGTCTACATGCACCCGCGTGCACCCTCTACGCGTCGCCAATGCTCTTTAGTGTCACTTGAAGTCACATACCAGGATACGCACAGGCAGATCCAACCCTAGGAGTACACTGCACAGCACAGAAGACAACCAGTTAAGCAAAACTCCCATAAATGTGGAAAGGACTTGTCAGATAGAGGGAGAACCAGTTCCCCTTGTTAAACTTTCCCAGGTGCGGAGGCTGCAGGGGCCAACAGACAGGTGAGGTTACAGGCAGCGTTTAGCAGGAGAGCTCACAAAATCAGGCCTCTCAACACATCGGAGTGTATA